TTTTTTTTATCTGTTCATAGAAATCTTGGCTAGTTCCGTAGCCTAGCTATTGTGAGTAGTAGTTCAGTAATAAATGTGAGCATGCAAGCATTATCATCTCTGTGGCAGGACTTAGATCCTTGGGTAAATGCTCAGCGGTGGTACATGGCAGCTGGGTCACAGGGCAGCTCTGCTTTTGCTGTGTTGTTTGAATGAATCTCTAACATTTTCATTGGTTCACTCTTAAGTGAAAATAGTAAGCAGTGTTTTTTGAAGAGTATCTGTAATGTGTCTAGGGTGGCTGCACATTTCCCTCAGCAGCGATGGCTCCTCCTTCCCTGCATCCTCACCAGCCCAGGCCATCTGAAAGCCCTAACCCTCCACTCTGACACTGTTGGTCTTAGTGGTGACCAGCCCCATCCTGAGACAGTCATTTCCTAGCAGAGGCTTGAGTTTCAGGAGCAGCCCCTACACCACAGACAGTCCTGCTGCTCAGGCCATCCTGGGCATTTAGATGAGTTCCCTCTCAGGAAGCAGGGCCCTGTGGTAGCCTTTACTCTATTTAAAATGAGGCCCTTGTCTGTTGTAGATTTCCATGTGCATCCCTTAGTACTGCCCTGTGTTTTAATCACAAATCCTTCTCTTTTCCTCCAGGAGTCTGGAGCACCTATTCTCACAGATGACGTTAGTTTACAAGTGTTTATGGATCATTTGAAGAAACTTGCTGTGTCAAGTGCTGCTTGACATGCCAGACGTGTTAGACACTCAAGGTGAAATGCTATTCCAGGTTCTTTTGCTTTTCCATTTATCTGTGGAAGCAACAGAGATCTCTCTCCAAATCTGTTTTGTGGCAGTATGATCTGAAGTGACATATGAACAAATATCTATGATTAAGCTGAAATATAATAAGAGCAATGAGAACAAGTTGGTTTTGCTTGGTACAGTATTATAACTGGTTTTTATAAATTTGAGGTCTTTATGATTTAATATGTTTAAAGAGTTAGAATGGTCTGCTTTGTATTACAGATAGCACTTATTTGTATACTGCAGACAGATCCAAAGTGGCACTGGGTATCCTCACTGACCTGTTAGGAATATTTAATAGCAGCCAGAAAGGAACAAATTAGTAGTCATGGCATATGAAGAGTTTGCTTCTTTGTCAAGTAATTTTTCTGTGTTTTTTTTTTTAGCACACATGTATACCCTATTCTGTATTTGTAAAGTGGATTTATTTGTGTGATTTATTTAGGAATTATTTGACTTTATAGTAGTAATTCTTATGAAGGGAACTTAATGTTTTTGGTTACTTGCAAAAATTATTTAGAGCTAAAAAATCTGAGTGAGGTAACAACCTCACAGCTGACATTAAATGTGAAATTCCCACCAAGTACCCAACTCATGTGACTAACCAGAGTAATTTTGTAAGGAAGCTAAAAAAATAAAGCATGTTGTCAGGGTGATGAAAAAATTCTTGGAAGTAAAAAGACTATTGTAATTATTAACCATATTTTGTTTTTGTTATATCATTTTGTTGTTTTCCCTTCCTAGATAAATTTTCCATTGTATCCTTCAGTATTTTAACACTACTTTAGGAGTTTTCACTTCACTTTTGTTTCAGGTTTCTTCCTTGTGAAATTTATTAATTTGTGGTTCTTACTGAGACAGTATTATATAATGTTTAGTTATATCATGTGGAGATAGTTCTATTTGATTTATTGATTAGTATCATTCACTTTTACCTTTAAAGTTTACTTGTAGCAAATGTTTACAATGCTAAAGTAGATAAGTTTGACAATGAATTTTATGTATCAAGTGCTGCAAATGCAAGGACAGTAGTGGTGACTGTGATTGTACTTGCATGAACACAATCAGACGATGGGAAAGCAGGAACATCTAATTGTCATAGTCAATTGTTGAAATAAATTGCTTTGTTCTGTGTTATTGGAATTGAACTGTGCTAGGCCAAAATGCCAATAAAACATACCTTTCTCTTTCTCTGTTTTTGTTTTTTGGTTTTTGTTTTTGGTTATTTTACAATCTAATAATATCTGGAAAGCTTAATGTAAAACTAGAGCACTGTACTTTTTTTTTTTTTTTTTTTTTTTGAGATAGAGTTTCACTATGTAACTCTGGCTGTCTTGGAACTCATTATGTAGACCATACTGGCCTCAAACTCATATAGATATATCTGCCTCTGCTGTTTGTTTCAAAAATCCACAAAATCAATTGTCATAGGGATTATAATCCTTTCTTAAGAATAACAAATCTGGAGATTAATTATGAATAAAGATCTCTCTGAAGTGGAACATCTCCTAAGCACCTCCAAAAAGGAGGGATCACATTTCACCTTGTGTAATGGCTTAGATTCCTTTCTTCAAGGAGGTTTAAAAATCACTTAATCTCTAGAAGTTTAAAAATTAATCTTCGTTAAATCTTTGCAAGATGCTGATAGTTAAATGTTTGGAAATATTTGTGAAGAGGTAAAATTCAGCAGAAACACGAGCATCCCACTCAGTGCTGCTTCTGCTTGAATTTGTACAGAAACACTGCGTGTGCGATTGTGAGTGTGTGTGTGTGTGTGTGTGTGTGTGTGTGTGTGTGTGTGTGTTGAGAAAATACCACCATACATTCTTTCAGAGAGTTTTCAGTTTTAACAGCTCCAATGAGATGTCAGCGCTGCCACCGTGGGAGTCTAATGCATCTTCTGGAACTTTCTTGGGAAGATGGACAGTGGGTTATGTGCATTTTCAAATCTCAAGACTCAGGTTTGGGGACCATGGGCATGGAACTGACATCTTAAGTTATCCAGCTAGATGAGATGGCCCTTCTTTAACTATTTATTAGGAACTAACAAGGTAAGTAGGGAGCAGAGTGTCAGACACAGTCTTCTTCCCTTGGGCATGGATTATGCTGTCACGCATGGGCTCTTACGATGTTTAATTCTAAAACTCTATTTTTAATGAGAACATTAAGCCCTACTGATTTATCAAATATATATTTTTCAGCAAGGAAGTATTTCTATTAAAAAGCTATCAAGTTGCTGAAATATTAATGGGAGTACAATATTATTTAACTGAGGAGAATGTTTTGATTGAATCCTGGCTGTAACACCCAGAATTATTTTCTGTATTTTAATAGGGATGTTAAGAAAATAAGATCCTGAGTAATAAATTGTGAAATGGCTCAATTAACAGTTGTTGTTAATTAAGAAAGCTCTCACTTTTTAGGGGTTTGTAGAAGAATGCCAATGCATACTGTGAAATGCTCCTACTTAAGTCTATGCTTAGAAATTGGTTAGTTAACTAGTACAGAGTTTATGGACATGACTACCTGAAGCTAAAAAAGTAAATTTCACTATGATCTGATTTTGGACCAGAGACTTCTGTTTGCTGTGCAATGCTTTTTAAATTACATTTATTTATTGAGTGCCATGCAAACTCCTCACATGTTCATGGCATCTATTTTCTTAGGAAAGACAAATTTCACCCAGTTGAGTTGTTTTATTTAACAATATCCAGCAGAATTAATATTTATAACTTTCTAAATAGATGAGGACTTTAAAAAAATTTTAAGTTACTTTTATTTATTTGTATGCACAGCTATGTGTGGAGATCAGAGGACAACTTGTGGAAGTCAATTCTTTCCTTCTATCATGCAGGTTCCAGGGATTGAGCTTAGGTCATCAGGCTTGGAGGCCAGCACCTTTACCTGCTGAGTCATCTCAGTTTCCAACAACAGAAGGTCTTCATCAGTAATGGAAAACACATGTACTTCAACACAGACCTTTGTAACTAGCACACAACCATGGAAAGTGAACTTTTTTTTTTTTTTTTTTTTTTTGAGAGATGCTTTTACTTTTCAGCCATGGCTGGCCTGGAACTCACTGTACACTAAGCTTGACTTAAATTCAAAGAAATTTGCCTGCCTCTGCCTCCCTAGTGCTGGGATTAAAGGCGTGTGATCTATTACACCTGGCCCTGAAAATGGTGTGTGCGAATGTGTGTAATGTTGGGGTTTGAGTCTGGGTCCTTATGCGTGCTACCCACAGAGTACTGCTGAACTAGACTACCAGGCCCTATCAAAAAAAGCTACTGTGTTGTAGCCGGAAGTTTCTCCAGTTCTGCCTGGTCCTGTGGTCGGGATGAATCTCTCCCACCCTCCGTCCACAGCTACTTATAAAATAATCTCTCAGAGGCTTATATTAACTACCCACTGTATGGCCTAAGGCTGCGAATTCTTGCTAGCTAGCTCTTTCTTGGTAAGTTAACCCGTTTCTATTAATCTGTGTATTGCCATGTGGCTGTGGCGTTGCTGGTCTGCTGGCGTATTGCTCCTTGGGTGGCAGGCTGGTCTCTCCCACTCCACCCTTCAGTTTGAATGTATCACCTAACCCTATCCTGCCCTGCCATAGGCCAATGCAGCTTTATCAACCAATCAGAGCAACACACATTCACAGCATACAGAAAGACATCCCACAGCACTTCCCCCTTTCCAGCCAGAATCTCAGACAATCTTATCCATTACTCTGAGACTGGCTACAGACTATACAGCTAGCTCTATTGAGACCTAACTATTTAAACCATTGCCCCCTAAACAGCAGGAAGCAATTCTAAGAAAATGACGCCTCCTCTTCCAAAGGTTTCATTTTTCTCAGGGTTATAGATGGATGGTTGTAGGTTTGGGGGTGGAACAATAAAATTTACACTCAGTATTCTTTAGAAAAGAAAAAGGGGAATGGATAGGTATAGTATATTAAGGTAGATTATTGTATCTACTAGTAAACTGTTTTAGCAAACTATCAGCCTTGGATAATTTGCACTGATATGGATTCTTGTATATTTGATACAAATGTAAACTATTCTTATTGATATAATTTGTATACTGATACAAATACAAAACTATATTTGTTGTATTGTACATATAGTTCTACTCGTATTTGAAATATTTTGTATATCGATACATATTAAGGGTATTGTTGTCATATTGAATGTTGTACTATACATTTCTCTCTCTGTTTAAGATATTTTGTGTATTGTCACAGTTTTGAGGTCATTGTTCTTAAACGGTACATCTGCTTACAGACTGTTTACCTTGTTAATGTGAAGCCTTAGTTCTTAAGTTATTTAGGTAGATAAGACTTACAGAACTAGGTTACCCATGCTTGCCATTTCTATAGTTATATTAGTTAGGTTCTCCAGATTTACAGAAACATATGTCAGATGGATAGGTAATCTTCAAACACTTCATAGACCTAGAGAATATGACATTTAAATAACTCAGAATTCTGTTGACGTGAGACGTGATTGCTCCTGGCAGCACCTATCTGATCTTGAGAGAATGTTGGGCTTCTAGACATTTCCATTTGGAAGTTTGTCTTCTTCTTGGCACAAAATGGCCTGCTGGGCAAAGAACTGCCCTTGCCTTGACTGCTGACAGTATGAATGCTGTCCCTTCTAGACACGCAGGACACAAGGAAAGTGACTGTTGAACTCTGCCAAGCCAGGGTAAGATGGTCTTTCAAAATTCCTCCTTCTTAAAATGGCCTGTTAGATATTATAGGCCTGTAGCCAATTTGAAGGCACCTACGATGCTGAGAAACCTTAGGTGACTGTCCAGGCTTCCAGCTGTCTCTGTCTATTCTTGCAAGAATTTTCGGAAATTGTTCATTTGCATTTTTCATTTTCTCAGGTATTATTATGTTCCTTTTCAGGTCTTTGATGGACTTGAAGACTAGATAGTTACAGTTAACAATCTCCTCATATCTTAGCTAGAACACATTAGTACTAGAGTCAGAATCTTCAAGATAAGACAGCTATTGGAGTAATCTTAGTAATTTGCCATTTGCCTATGTTCTGGACATTTCTGGACATCTAGCGTGTCTTTCTTGTTTGATGTTGTTCTTGTTGGTTGTAGTTCCATTTTTGTTTATGTTATTACCCTATGTTTTTCCTGGATAATACTTGATAATCATTCTTATTGTATATATTTTCATTAAGTTTAGAACCTTCTTACTTAGACAAAAAGGGGAAATGTGATGGTATTTGTTCTGCCCATGACCTTGGGCTATAGGGCCCAATGGAGGCAGTGTTTCCTACTGTTGTATGACCTCTTTATAAGGAGATGGAGAAGGGTCACATGCTCTTGCTCCCTGTTGCTGCCTGCGAAGTGGATTCGCTCCTAGTCAGATCAGAGGACGACTTCTGGGGTCTACTCTGTTGTGTATTTGTGAGTGTATTTCCTCAATTTATATCTTAATAAGTCCATAATACTGTGTTTTGTCTCCATCTGTCCCTTTAAGCTTGTTTAGTGTGTGAGGCATCACACCTCTAATCACTCGGTGAGCGCCATCAGCCTGACGATTTTTGCATCACTTAGAAGCCTCTCAGTTACAGACAGTCCCGCTTAACAATGGCCTCGTTTTGTCCCGTGTTGGGTTAAGAAGTCATTTCATCTGCGCTTCCATGTGATGGTCTAGCCCATAGCTCTCGTGGAATCTACTGTATCATCTTGGCTTTAATCCAAGTCATTTGCTACATATTTATGTACCAGAAGAGTATAAGTGATACATAGAAAATTCTCATCATTTTGATTCCTAAGGATGATTCTAAATCAGCTTGTCCTGGGAACGGCTCTGTTCTATGTATTCTTCATTTAGTTCATGGAGATTTCTACTGAGATCCATCCACTTGACTCTTGCTCCGTAATCACTTCTCTAGTCCATAAAAATTCTTATAAAAATATTTTCATACTTAGTCACAGATTTTGCTTATAAGCTGTCCCCCAAAATCTTAGAGGCTGATTTTTTCTAAACACAGACACATAATAATTGCAAATATTTGTGGATTATAATATGATTTCTCATTCATGTGTATGATGGCAAGAATTGGATGTCAACCAATTCTAACAAAAATTTGTGCTTTGGCTGTGGAGAAAACACTTGTCATACAAGTGTGAGGACCCATGTAAATGCTGGTTCCCAGCGCTCAGGAGGCAGA